GCAAAATCCAGTAACAAATCGGCAAGTGAATTCTATGTTAAGCGATATATTTAGTGGCCCAACAATCCAACTCCAATTTGATCTTATGATGACGTTAATAAAAAATGCATGCCGCCTTTCCTCACATAATCAAAATCTATTTGCAAATACAATGTGTTACACAAGCTATGACAGTTTTTACATCCAAGACCGAATCGTTACAAATGTTGCATGAATTACTGCAATAATTTACTCAGCTAGGTCGATTCATTATGAGACACACTGGTTATAAAGGCGGAAGGCAAATTTTCGTACAGAAGAATGTGAATAATGTTGGTCATACTCGGATTTCAATGTAAACTCTGGCGCGCCGTAAGGCCGTTGCGTTGCAACGAGCAGATGGTGGTATGGAATGAATGTAGGAGATTTCCAGGGCTGTTTACAACAAGAAGCAGTGTGGTGAGTGCATAATCGGTAAGTTAAGGACGTCAACTTGAAGGCACTGTTTTCGTGCTCCTTCACAGTGTTCTCATACAATAGGGTCAACAGGCTTCTAGAAGGTAAAGTGAGACTATAAATCCTGAAGTATGAGGGGTATTAATGAAGAGATGGAACGAAGGTTTATGCTACATATGTATGCATTCGGTAACATACATCAGTGGATTGAAATCAATATCCCCACTAATAATGTTTGCTGGTCAGTAACTTCACACTCCATTCTATTTTGATATTCAGTTCTTTTAAAGTAATGGTCAGATTGAAATTTCTTACCCTCAAGCTCTATGTTTTACATTCTGTTGGAAAACACTAATTCTACGAGTACCTTAAACAAACATATCTGATAGTTCAAGCTGGTAGACCGTTGTTAGAGCCCTGAAACATCATTCCACGGTAGCATAGAATATAGCATGAGTTTCTAAAGAAAAACAAGTTAACAGAAGCAATCTAGTGGGTAGACGAGGTATGAAATCCAGTAGTTTCCTGTCGATAAGAGGGGATTTAGTTGTAAATGGTTGGACAGTCACATTTATAGTTAGAAATTTCAAACTGATCGGTAATAAATAAGAACAAGCACTGGCATTGCTGTGGTTGATAGTGGTTCTTATGGACGGTTTTTGAGTGTCTCTGATTTTCCAACCTAGTAGTCTTTGGTTGCAATAAGTTTTAGTGAGTCTTAGTGCAAGGTATTTCTAAGGCCTAACGTGTACAAAACCAGTCGTAGTACAGGAAGGAAGAGAGATATGAAGCAATTTTAGTCTCAAGGTTTAATGGAAGATAAAGAGTGTATACACCTACGCCATTGTGATCGATTCTGAGCCATGTCACCCAGAGTCTCCAACCACTGGTTACGATAGTCACGCGGACCCTAACGAGGTAGTCTGCATCTACCAACATGGCTCAGACTAGAAGTTAGTGACTTCAAGGACTGATGCCATGTTTTGGTTTGGCCGCCCCTAACTTTCTTCCAACCGTCCCCAATACTAGTCATCATAGCGCGTCGTGGTAATCGGTGTTCAGGCATACGTAACACTTGGCCCAACCATCTCAGTCGATGAAGATTCATCACCTCATCAACTGATTTACCATCGTTCCCTAATACCCTGCGTCTAAACTCACTATTACTTACCCGGTGATACCAGCAGATGTGAGCAATATTTCTGAGGCATCTGTGGTCAAATACTAGTAACCTACGAGTATCTTCTACTCTTAATGGCCATGTTTCGCAGCCGTAAAGTAAGATAGAAGGGACTACTGAGAAGTATACTCGTCCCTTAATTGATAGACGGATATCTCGTCTTCGCCATAGGTGACGTAAGTTGGCAAAAGCCAAACGAGCTTTTTGAATCCGTGCTGAGATTTCGTCAGACACCAACCCATTAGGGCTGATCAGACTTCCAAGATAAGTGAAGTTGTCGACGCGTTCGTCTACTTCACTCCTTATCCTTAGTTCGGGTGTTGACGCAGGCCAGTCCTGGAGTAACAATTTGCATTTGGATGGGGAGAAACGCATCCCAAACATCCTGGCATTATTACTCAGTTCTAACAGAAGACTGCATTTTATCAGCGTCTTCACCAAACAGGACTATGTCATCTGCGTATTCTAAGTCGATAAGTGAACCTCCTGATAGAAGATCAGTTCCTGAAAATTCAGTCGACGAGAGTGTTATTACCAGCAACAGGTCTATAATGAAGTTAAACAAAAATGGGGATAGTGGACAGCCTTGACGGACACCACTTGAGGTTGTAAAATCATATGACAGTTCGCCATAAGCTCTCACTCGACTGGTAGTGTTCGAGTAAAGAGCCTTCACAAGGTTTATGTACTTCTCAGGTACACCTTTCAATGACAGACACTGCTACAGGACCTCTCGGTCTACAGAATCAAATGCTGCTTTCAAGTCAAGAAAAACTATCATTGTCGGACGCCGATAAGCATGTCTGTGCTCTAAAACTTGATGAATGGTGAATATGTGGTCGATACAGCCACGACCAGGTCTGAAGCCAGCCTGATTTTCTCGTGTTTGCAGTTCACGAGTCTTAGTTAGGCGCCCGATAATTATTGAGGCTAGTATTTTAGATGCTATGTTAGTCAGACTAATCCCTCTATGGTTATCACAGGATGATTTTGACCCCTTCTTATATATTGGGACAATCAGAGATTGTGACCAGTCAGATGGGATTACGACCGTCTCCCAGATTTTAGCCAGAATATTAGTCAACCTAATCGCTGAAATTGGACCACCATATTTAAAGACCTTTGGAGCCAATCCATCTAGATCAGCTGCTCTTCCTCGTTTCAGATTACTTATAGCTTTTTGAACTTCGAGTAGGGTCGGGGGGCCTACTTCAATGTTCCATTCAGGTTTTCTGGGAATAGTGGGTAGTTGTGCAGTAGCTGAAGGCCAGCTAAACTGCTCCTTAAAGTGTTCCACCCATCGTTCTGAACGTCTGGGTTGAGAGTAGATAAGGGTTCCATCTCTTTTCGATATCGTCTCACTTACACTTGACTTCTTAATTCCGGTTTCTTTTATTAGTCTGAATAGTTGCCTGGTGTTGCCTACAACCACTGCCTTTTCCATCTCTTTTGCTTTCGTTGCCCACCACTGCTCACGATCGTTTCTTAGACTTTTAGTTAACCTAGATCTAATTTCTTTACGCTCTTCGTCGTGTTCAGAGCCTGATGGGATGAGTTTACGCGAATCCATCAGTGAAATGGACTTAGAAGAAATCCACTGGTTTTTTGGGGCCCTATGGTTTAAATAACTAATAGATGTTACTGCTGTTTCCACAGCTGTTCGTATGTCTTTCCAAGCGGCATCTGGGTCAGTCTCGTTTACAGAACTGCCTAGATGTGAACTCAGTTGTTTCTGGAATTCGCATTTGGCTTTCTCGTCCTCCAGTTCAATCCTAATGGGTCTTCTTAATGTACTTTTCCTGTGTCCATTGAGGCGCAGACAAATGCGCGCTCGTATTAAAGCGTGATCAGAGTCTAAACAAGTATTCCAATATGAGCGACAATCTTCTATTGAGCCTCTCCAACGATGACTGATGACAATATGATCTATTTGAGTCCATCGTTGGTTTGGTGCAGGTGGTCGCCATGTTAGACGATGTCTCTCCTTATGCTTAAAATTAGTGCTTGCTAAAAATAAACGATTGTCTGAGCATAGTTGCAACAGACGATCACCATTATCGGTTCGTTGAGCCGGAATACTAAAACACCCACCTAAATGTCTTTCTGTTTGATTTAAGCTGCCTACCTGGGCATTAAAGTCACCCGCTACGACTACTATGGCTGAGCGCTTAGCTTTCTGAAGAAGCTTAGAGAGCTTTCTGTAAAAGTCATCTTTCACTTCTTCATGGCTGCAGTCAGTGGGAGCGTAGGCAGAAACGACGAAAAGGCAACGACGTGTGTCCCTATCCTTCCGAGTTTGTACGGAGCCATTTAGCCGGCGACTGTTAACGGGGATCCATTCTAGTAGTGCCTGTTCTGCCATTGTACTTAGTGCTATGCCTACACCTGCAAGTCAACGAGAACTGGCCATTGGGTCGCCAGATACACGGAGGGTGTATTTCGTTGGCTGTCCATTTTGGCGAGGTGAGGTCAAGTGAGTGACCACACTAGGATCCTGTATGTGTGTTTCGGAGACACAGCATACATCAATGGTACGAGATTCTAGGGTTTTAGTTAAGGAGGCCTGTTGACCGATTTGACTTAGGGTACGTACGTTGAAATTAGGTATATACAGCAATAACTATTACCACACTGTTTATCGCAAACTAACTGGATTTCTGAAAGTTGACCAGTAATCTACTTGTTATAAACCCCATCATTACCTAAAAGTTTTGGATACAAATGCTAAGTGATCAGAAAGTCCCGAACTAAAAAAAGAAATCACTTCATATACTTTTTAGCATTCAAAAGATTGCTCAACAGATATCGGTTTGTTATAAAAAGCTTTCATTTAATTTAGTTTCCTTTAGATCAACCAACTGAGTTTTTACACAAATCACTCTTATTGTTCTAAACCTACCATTTATCAAATTTCTAATTCACATTCAAAATGTTAGGTTTTCATATATCATCAGCTTGAAGAATATGACAATATATGCTAAAACATTACGAGGTACTCACAGATAAAATATAGAAGTGTGTGATTTAGTTCGTTTAACTTTCAGCTAGTCTGATCTCTCACTTCATGTACTGACCTCTATGCAACCACGCATTATAATATCATCCGTCCTGTAAATACGCGAGGCCTATAACTTAAGTCTAAGAGCCTTGGTTCCTGAGTTTCATTCCAGTTTGTTATATATATGCATTCAGGTTTCAGTTTAAAAAAGTAATAAATAAGTCAGTTTTCACACAAATTGCTTTTATTGTGACAGATGTGCGCAACTATTCTTTTAAATAACGTTTCATTTAAAACTAGTAGCTGTTTTCTTTATATTCAGAGAAAAAGTCGACTCAATAAGTATTATAAATAATTGAATAAAAATCCGTATATAACATGTTTACAATGACTTTAGTACGATATTTGGATAATCCTGGAAGTTACTTCGTTTTTCTTAAGTATTAGTAGCTGTGTGACCATTGACATCAGTTTACAATCTGACAGTGAATACTTTTGTTCTATTTTAAATTAATTTTTTAGACATATTGATGAAACTGAACGTAGTATACAAAAACGTGGTAGTGAAATCCCAGAAACCATCACACAACTCCAAGAGGACTATTATCTCAATAGAGAAGTTATTGTGAGTCATTGGGATAGTTGTATAAGTGCATTAAAATGGGAACATCGTCAAGCTCTGAGAACATTTGTTGTGTCTTATGAAGGACATATCAATAGTTTACCAACAAATGGCGATTTGAAAGATAATTACGATCCATTTGCATCATATGATGTGAACAGTAATGATGATAATCCAGAACCTCGTTATTTAACAAGAGATAAAAGTAATACCAAGTAAGTCTGTTGTAAATTTCTTTCTATATATTTAATATAATCGTAATTGTAACAACTTCTACACACATTTTTTTCTAAAAAATCTTCAACGTATGTATGGACGTTGGAGATAACTTTGTTTAGAAAAACCTAGTATAATAAAACTTTTTGAATTTTGGTAACACTATAGTATATTGACACCCTTGAGTTAACTAATGGGGATTACGATGAAGTCTCGTGTATTTTAAACGAAATTTAAAGTGCAGTGATAGATAACTTGTATGTTATTGCAAGTGAATTAAATATTGGCAATGTTTGGTTTCTAAAATGTTTGAAATCGACGGAAAGTGAATCTGAAATGGTGCTTAAACTAAATTACAAAGCATATCTGCTCCTAAAGCAGAATACGTGGTAAAGTACTTGATGTGATTCAGTAAGTATTCATGAGTGCTTCGTTAGGCTAGATAGTATTCTCCCACTCTAAACTGTAATTTTAATTGTAGTCCCGAATTTCATAAACGTATAAACAGAAAACTGACAAGAAATCGCATTGTGGCTGATGTCAGTTCGTGATGAAAACACTAACTTTTATTTGCAAATCCATCTCAGAACTCCAGCTTAACTGGTAATTTTTGTATTATCGCTAGCGATAGTTGCTGACGAAAACTTTAAGGGTTGATAATTCTAACTTACAACAGTAGCCCAACTATTAATCTGCAAAACTTAACCTTTTTCTTTTACTATAAAGAATAATTCGAAATGTGATGACTGAATATTAATTTATTATTCCACTGTTATAATGTTGACTTTTTGCCGCTAATTCTTTTATAATTTTAAAGATTCCCATTGTGAAAATTAGCTTACATGTGTTGTTCTAATTCTTTTATAACTAGGTTCTGTTCCCTAATTGGCTGATAGATCCTTCAAAGTCATCAGTAGATATCACTTTTACCTCATTTTTATAAGCCCGACCGTTGCTGCTACCTTGACGTGGTGGTCGGGCTTGCCTATCGTGATGATCCAATCGAGCTATGCTGGCTGGAACAATCGTTCCTCAAGGTCCTACCATGCCAGACAGGTCGATTGAAGAGCGGTGAGACTAAAAGCAGCAATCCCAAGGTCCGAAGGCGAAGTCGTACTGCTGACTGTACAGAGGTGTGAAAGCAGTAAGGTGTTTCCTTCAGACAACCAGCATGACAGCGATGCTGCCTTCCCACAAGGAGGGGTGGGGTTAGAAAAGGTCGACCCTAAAAATGCACACCTCGCCTTATCCCACGGATTTCCGTCTCCGGCGGTAAGGACTTTTGAAGAACGGAGCTAACACGTCAAAAATCCCCCACAAAAAGGCCGTGCGTGACCGGCCTCAAGCAGATGTCCCTTGGGCACTGCGGTCACGCACCCAGGTCGTTAAGACCAACACTAATCCAACTTCTTTTTCAGGTCCCTCAAGAAATACCCTTCCACGGTGTGGGCAGCCGGGAAGTGATACTAGCCCTCATACCCTTAGCTGCACACAAGACCAAGTTGGTCGCTTTCAAATCCTTCCTACACCTCCTAATAACTCTGTTATCTCCACGACTAACCCTTCCCACGTCCTTTTATCACCTCGCACCGCTAGGGCAAACGATTCGAGTACACAGAACGTTATTTCTGGTCTCCTGAAACCACGCTCTAAACTACATATAGGAACTTTTAATGTCCGAACATTGTGCCAAATAGGACAACAGGCTTCCTTAGCTAGGACTCTAGAATCTTACACCATCGATGTGTGCTGCGTCTCCGAAACGCGCATACAAGATCCGAGTAGTGTCATTCATTTGACCTCACCTAATCAAAATAAAGTTTCATCTCGATACACGCTTCGTGTATCTGGAAGCCCTGACGCTGCTTCCCGTGGCCTCGCTGGAGTAGGTATAGCATTAAGTCCTAGGGCAGAACTAGCTCTTTTAGACTGGATCCCAGTAGACAGTCGTCTATGCGCTGTCCGACTAAACGGATCAGTAAGGACCCGGAAAGATAGGGAAACTCGTCGTTGCCTCTTCGTCGTCTCTGCCTACTCTCCCACTGACTGCAGCTCAGACGATATAAAAGATGAGTTCTACAGGAAACTTTCTGACCTTCTCCGAGAAGCTAGGCGTTCTGATGTTGTAATAGTAGCAGGTGACTTTAATGCTCAAGTAGGTAAACTAAGTGAAAGGGAAAGACACCTGGGTGGATCTTATGGTGTCATGGCGAAAAGAACAGATAATGGCGACCGTCTGTTGCAGCTGTGCTCAGATAACCGCCTATTTCTTGCAAATACTAACTTTAAGCATAAGGAAAAACATCTTTTGACATGGCGACCCCCGAATTCGTCCCAACGTTGGACCCAATTAGATCACATCGCTATCAGCCACCGATGGAGGGGCTCGATTGAAGACTGTCGCTCATTATGGGGCACATGTCTAGATTCAGATCATGCTCTAGTGCGAGCACGTATCTGTCTGCGTCTAACTGGTCGTAGGAAAGACACTGCAGGGAAGCCTCTAAGGGTTCTACTTAATGATAGGCAAGCTAAGAATATATATCAGGAACAACTAGAAAAACAGTTAGGCAGCCATGTAAGTTGTGTCCACCCCGAGGCAGCGTGGAATGACATCCGAAAAGCTGTGGAAACAGCAGTGATGTCCGCTAGTAAGGTAAACCATAACGTTAGGGAGAAACAATGGATCTCGGCAGCATCTTCCGCACTGATAGATGCTCGTAAACTCATCCCACCTGGCTCTGAGCATAACGAAGAGCGGAGTCAACTTAAGCGCAGGCTTATAAGAAGCCTACGTAATGATCGTGAACAGTGGTGGGTAGGGAAAGCAAGAGAGATGGAAAAGGCAGCGGCAATAGGTAACAGTAGGCAGCTATTCAGACTCGTTAAAGAAACCGGCATTAGGAACCCGAATATCAGTGAAACCATCTCAGATAGAGATGGGCATATTATTCATTCTCAATCCAGGAGATTGGATCGATGGGCAGAACACTTTAGGGATCAGTTCAACTGGCCTTCAGCCACGCTTCAATTACCCACGATCCCCAGTCGTCCTGAATGGCAAATTGACGTAAGTCCTCCAACCCTCTGTGAGGTTGAAAAAGCTATAGGAAATCTGAAGCGAGGGAGAGCAGCAGGCCCTGACAGGTTGACCCCTGAGATTTTTAAGGATGGTGGTCCAGTACTAGCAGTGAGATTGACTGAGGTCTTAGGTAGAATCTGGGAACTGGACGTAATTCCATCTGACTGGTCCCAATCACTGATTGTGCCAGTCTATAAGAAAGGACAAAAGTCCTCCTGTGACAATCACAGAGGGATCAGTTTGACTAATATAGTGTCTAAAATATTAGCTTCAATAATACTAGGTCGCCTAACCAAAGCTCGTGAAGAGCAGACTAGAGAAAACCAGGCTGGTTTTCGACCTGGACGTGGTTGCATAGACCAGATATTCACCCTACGTCAGGTTCTAGAACATAGACACAAATTCAGACGTCCCACAATAGTAGTATTTCTTGACCTTAAGGCGGCATTTGACTCTGTTGATCGTGAGGTTCTATGGCAATGTTTGTCACTGAAAGGAGTACCAAAGAAGTACATTAACCTCATAAAGGCTCTCTACTCGAACACAACTGGTCGAGTTAGAGCCTATGGCGAATTGTCATCAGAACTGATTACCACAAGTGGAGTTCGTCAGGGCTGTCCACTCTCCCCATTCTTGTTTAACTTTGTCATTGACATACTTTTAGAGACAGCACTTTCATCAGCTAAGCCTCCAGGAGTTGAACTCTTACCGGGAGGCTCACTTGTTGACTTAGAATACGCCGACGACATAGTTTTACTCGGTGAAGACGCTGACAAAATGCAGAGTCTTCTGACCACCATAAGCAACAATGCAGGCATGTTCGGGATGCGATTCTCTCCCTCGAAGTGCAAAATGTTACTTCAGGATTGGGTTGCAGCGACACCTGAACTAATGATAGGGAGTGAAGTAGTTGAGCGTGTAGACCACTTCACTTATCTTGGGAGTCTCATCAGCCCTTGTGGTCTGGTGTTTGACGAAATCTCAGCACGGATACAGAAGGCTCGTCTAGCTTTTGCCAACTTGCATCATTTGTGGCGTAGGCGAGATATCCGTCTAGCAACCAAAGGACGGGTTTACTGTGCAGCAGTTCGTTCCGTCCTACTTTATGGAAGTGAAACATGGCCGGTAAGAGTAGAGGATATTCGTAGGCTACTAGTGTTCGATCATAGGTGTCTTCGAAGCATTGCTCGTATATCCTGGGACCACCGGGTAAGTAATGCAGTTGTTAGGAAACGAGTACTAGGTAGGGATGGCAAATCGATTGATGAAGTAGTGAAACTTCATCAGTTGAGATGGCTGGGACATGTGTTACGTATGCCCGACCACCGACTGCCCCGACGTGCAATGTTTCATGGTGTAGGAGTAGGTTGGAAGAAAGCTAGGGGTGGCCAGACCAAAACGTGGCACAAATCAATGAAGTCACTGACAAGTGGACTGGGCCATGTTGGTAAGTGTAGACTACCTGGTTGGGATTCGCGAGATGATAGCAACCGATGGTTAGAGACCTTGAATGACATGGCTCAAAATCGTTTGCAATGGCGAAGATGCATCCACTCTTTGTGTTCTACCAAATTCTAATCTTCTGAATTTCTCATGTCTTTATGTTTTTCTCCTTCCAAATATATTTCACTGTACTATACTCCTTCAATAACATCTTCAAACTCTAATCTTTCCGATTACTGCTTATACTCTTACTAATTCTTCCACTATGGGATTTGAATCGACAACTGCATCTGTGTGCTAATGTGGTATGGCAACTCGAACTGATGTACGTACGTACGAAGTTCTACGTTGTGACTGACTGACTGACTGAACAAATAGCGATCATTCCAGTTTAACCCGGATGTTTTTAAAAGATAGGTCAGTGCATGTTTTTGTTTAAAAGACTTCAGATAAGTTATTACCACAAAACCAGATTTTTATATTCGTACAATCAATCTTTTTTCTTGTATTTGATATGACAAATAAAAAAAACGAAATGATATAATAATCCATACAAGTAGAAACATATATACAGTCAGCTAACATAGTCATATATAATTAGAAAAGATATACACAACTGATCACAACTTTATCTCTCGACACTTTACAATTGACAGTCAGTCGTTTCGGATTAGTTTGCTTATATTTTTCGAGACTCGGGCGCAATGGTTTTCACTAGCTACATGAACTTCAGTTTTTGGTGGTTCTTAAACCTCATTCAATTGAAATTCTTTTTTTTAACATCTACAGCTAAAGTCGAGGCCATAACATCATCTAAACCAAGATATTTTAATTACAATACTTTTATGTTCGAGCGATTTATATATATATATATATATATATATATATATATATACGAACAAATTTTTCATTCTAGTACTGTGGGGGACACTTTTTCCTTTTAACACTCATGCTTTTAACTAGGAATGTATGACCAGTTGTCTGTCGGTCTCTTGTCATCAGTGTTCTATCAACAAACTATCCGTAGCTGTTATTCAACACTCATTCGCACTTGTGTTTTTATCTTGGCTTGCTTAAGGCCGTGGTTCGTAAGTCGATACTTAGAGCGAAAAAGATTCTACATCCCTTGAAACATTTGTGATAAATAACTAGTGACTTCATACATGACATTTCCGGATAATATCATGCAGTATTTTTAATTGATTATCCGTAACTTGCGTTCCAGCAAAAGCAGACACACGACACCAACTCTTTTTTCTAGGACTTAAATTTTCAACTGTAATGTATCATATATACAACATAATATGTTCTCTGTAGGATGAAATTTTATAATCCTATTAAAGTATGGTTTTAACATTGCTACAAGAGCTTTAATTTTAATATATATTTACGACAAATGTACACTAACAGTTACGCATTCTCGTTTAATGTTTTTTTACATAGTTCATCTAAAACATTGAATTCCTTATTAAAGAAATCTTCTACCATGAATAATCAAGCTATTTCTAAACGGACTGATCATATTCCATTATCAGAAACGTTCACTGTACAATTGGGTCGTCAGTTGCGAACAATGTTCAATTTTCGTTTAATTAGATTAGATCCATCTGAATTTATAACAACTACGAGGTTCAGACTTCAAGAAAATCAGTTAAGTCCTTTTGTTGTGATTTTCATCGTTAATATGTAAGACATAATGTATTGTTTCTCAAAGTTTTTAGCAATTTTTCCGAAGAAAATGTAAGTTTGTTAGGCATCTCCACCACCAATGTTGCATTTTGTCATAAATATAAGTCACTCAGTATAAAAATAATTTTTCCTAATATTTCGTGACACTATGTAGTTTGCTACAACGTAGAACTAGGCATATATATGCATCGGTTCAAGTTGCCATACCTCACTAGCAAAATAAGATGAACACCAAATTCATAGAAGTAGTTACTTCAATGATAGTAACATATAAAAGAAAGATTGTATATAAGTACATAGTACAGGAAGAAAGATATGAAGCAATTTGAATATCACACTTTAAGGGAAGATAGAGAGTGCATACAACTACGCCATTGTGATCGATTCTGAATCATGTTACACAGAATCTCCAACCACTGACTACGATAGTCATGCGGACCCAAATCAAGTAGTCTGCATCTACCAACATGGCTCAGACCAGGAGTTAGTGACTTCAAGGACTGATGCCACGTTTTGGTTTGTCCGCCCCTAACTCTCTTTTAACCATCTATACTACTCAGCATTGAGTATCATGATAATCGGTGGTCAGGTATGAGTAATACGTAGCCCAACCACCTCAATTGATGGAGATTCACAACCTCAACAACTGATTTACCATCATTTCCTAATACCCTGAGTCTAACCTCACTATTACTTACCCGGTGATCCCAGTAGACGCGAGCAATATTTCCAAGACATCTGTGGTTAAATACTAGCAAATTACGAGTATCTTCTACCCTTAATGGCCATGTTTCGCAACCGTAAATTAAGACAGAAGGAACTACTAAGAAGTATACTCGACCCTTAATTGATAAACGAATATCTCGCCTTTGCCATAGGTGACATAAGTTGGCAAAAGCCAAGTGCTCCTTTTGAATCTGTGCAGAGATCTCGTCAGACACCAACCCATTAGGGTTGGTCAGACTTCCAAGATGAGTGGAGTTGTCGATACGTTTGACTACTTCACTATCTATCCTTATTTCATGTGTTTAGTCAGGCCAGTTCTGGAGCAAAAACTTGCATTTGGAGTGGGAGAAACGCATTCCAATCATCCTGGTATTGTTACTCAGTGCTACCAAAAGACTCTGCATTTTATCAGCGTCTTCACCAAACAGGACTATGTCATCTGCGTATTCTAAGTCGATAAGTGAACCTTCTGGTAGGAGTTCAATGCCCGAAGTTGATAGTCAAGTTAGGAGGAATAATAAGAATTGAAAAATGGAATTCGGTTATGAATACAGTGATATTGAGCGCTGTTAGAGGTATGAGGGCGGTTTTCACTTCCCGGTCGTCCACACTGTTGAAGTGTTCTTCTAGTGGTACCTGAAAGTAAAATTACGTTAAAGTTGGTCTAAGTGACCCGAGGGCGTGACCACAATGTCCAAATAACAACTGCTTGAGGTCGGTTACACACGACCTTTCTGTGAGTAATTTCCCTGTTAGCTCCGTACTTGTTGAGACCTTATCGCCGGATACGGAAATTCGCTGGATAAGGCAAGGTGTGCATTTTCAGGGTTGACCTTATCTAACCCCACCCCTCTTTGTGGGAAGGCGACATTACTGTTATACTGGTTGTCTGAAGAGAACACCTTACTGCTGTCGCAGCTCTGTAAAGTCAGCAGTATGACTTCGCAGTTTATTTAATTATATGGAAAAATAACCTGTTCACGTGGCTAGTTGTCTTGTTTTTGTTTTTAACTAAAATCATACGGAGGCGTAAACCAGCAGTACGGTCTCCTGAGTAACCATCACTCAGCCACATTATATCATTGCGTCCATCAATCGATTAACATTATATTCGTTAATTTCAACAATCGAAAACCTCATCAAATCAAATCACATAAACCTCTTCCATAACAATGTATTGTCTGCCAAAAAATATTAAATTTTGATATATACCACTAGTATGTACTGATCTATGTGTCGGTGAATTAGAGGAAATGTAAGATCTTTCGGATGAGTGAATGATTGTTTTTGGTGTTGTTGGATTTCTTCATCTTGATGGTTCAATTGCAGGGGTCTTGTCGAGTGTCATCGTATAAGAATACTGAGCAATAGTAGTAGCCGGGTCGTTTATTAGCAAATACAATTATAAGAACTTTGTACTTATTGAGATTCTTATAATTATTGTCACTTTTATTTCGTACAGTTTACTCAATGATGACTGGCTTGCTGAACGTATGAACAATGCTTTAAACGTCTATTCAAACAATTTAAACGGTTTGATGATTCTAGTAGATAAACGAATTAATTCTTTCCGTGGGATTAAAAAAAGTAAGTTAGTAATTTCTATAGCTTGTAATAATAAAGGTTATACACCAAAGAACTGTTAAGGTATGTAACTCAATGGTCAATTATTTGTACTCTTTAGATTCATTCCAGATTTTTTTATTCGAATATTCATTTTATCTGTCAGCATGGATGAACTGTATATGCCACACATCAGTAAAAGCAGCTCACACAAGAGAGTATCCAAAGGGCATAAAGCAAAATAATCTAAAGTCTGTTTTAAAAATGTTATAATTAAGTATTAATTACAGTAGCAAGGTTACAATTATACAGTCTTCCACATTGTACTATGAAGTGTGTGTGTTTGTTTGTCTTTACTACTCAACGAATGAAATCTCCAAATGTTGTTCTTTGGTAGAATGGTTTTTAAGCATCAACTAATAATGATCGTTTTTGGTGTTCATAATTAAACTTTAATTGACTGAATGTTGTGTAATGTATAGAACCTTTTTCCTTCTCATTAATTAATCAAATAATTATTTTTTGTTGGTTAATAATGAATTATTGTAAAATCCCCACAAAATCCCCTTCTGATATTAAATAATAACCTTCCTTTATGTGTAATTATTGATTCCTTGGGATTAAAACACGCTCGGTTTTTAACAAATAGATCAAATCCCACTTCACTTGTTTTTGTATAACCAAACGGTATCACTTGCAACCTTACAGAAACACTGACTGGAAGTCCCGATTTTATTAACCTGATGTTTATCCTTTATTTTTTCGTTTGTATAGTTTTAGCGGATGCATGTGAGCAGTCTACTGAATTACATTTCCCGGAATTTGGATCCCAGTTAGAATCTATACAGGAAACAGTTAATCGTTTGGGATCACGTCAGTTAACGGAATCAAACGGGGAATCTAAAATAAAAAAATCATGATTTGTGTAGTGGAATTTCTACAGGTTGGTATATGATTTTGTCTATTGTTATTCGTGCATATATATGAGATTTAATTGAATTTCGCTTAATTGACGGTTAAATGTATATTAATTTACATATGGTATACACAAGAATGATTCAAATTCCCCGTTTATTTAAATTTCAGGAAACTACTTACCTTCAGTTAGAAACTTTCCATTTAATAATAGCAAGCAACTACGTAGAATAAGATTCATACCATTGTTAATGAAGTACTATCTCGAAATGTTTTCTCATTTACGCCTTCCAGTTGAAGCCATATAAAAGGGACTACATGGTATAAGCTACACTAAGCGTATTTAAAAAATGATGAGTATATACACCTCATATTATGGTCTAGATTAATAAAAGTGTTACGTTCACTTGGTTATGAGTTAAATCTTAAACCTTCATGAGTCACTGGTTGGAATCGCTCTCTACATACCTTTGTCTAGACTGCTATTTATTCCTTATCCAACAGACATATAGCTTGTCATAGCCTCTTAGTAGACGAGTTTTTTCCATTATTACTAGTTCACTGTTAATGTTGTGACTGCAAAGCAAAATGCATAAACCTGCACTTAAAAAGTAAGTTACACCAAACTTATTAAATGTGTAGTGGTTGCCAAACCAAAGCCATGACAGCCATCGTTGACTGTTGGATTGAGCTATATCAATAGGTTCAAAATTCTTGGTAGTGATTTGTGAGCCAATTGTATTTATGGTTAAAGGTATCCCTCAAGATTGGTCGCTACAATACAACTAATTCAATTCTCTTTCTCTCGGATTGTTGGTGCGATTATTACTTTATACTTAACATTCCATCAGTTTAAATATCTTGACTTTATATTCATTTAACTTAATCCCATTAAATCCACAGCTAATTTCAATTTATCTCCCATGGGTAACAGTGATTCTTTGCATACATTTGTTCAGCGTGTTGCACTTTAAATCTTTCGAAGTTCTTAGGATTTAATCTTTAAAAAAACACCTGTAAATATTTTTTGAGATCAAGATACATCAGTATAATCACAACATCGCTTCCGCCATTCTACTTTTGTTTCTAGCCTTCGTATCCATTCCTCGAACTTAATGCAATGAGACTGTTATTACTTATATGTATTACCTATTCCTATTAGGTATTTCTCCTTTTATAGTTAGTCTATCACTGGACTGTTTGATGTAATAGTTACATTTTTCTTTTAGTTTAAGTGTCAGTGAATCATCTGCAATATCATCGCTAAGTCCCAATTATGAAACCAAAAACTTAAACTGTAAATCGTTATAGTATGACGAGCCATAATTAAGTTTTAATTCCGTTGGAGCCTACCTAAATTGTACCGTATCATCACTTATTTCATATGGCTTCTAACTGTATTTCCATGTTGAATATATTTTGTTTATAAGTGTGTGGTTTTACCAAAAACACCCATTCAGTTTGACAGTTGTGTTGTTTGATTTTTGGTACCAGTTCATTTTGTGACATGAACAGTTATCAGTCAGTCATATTGTGTCATTGCACAATGTCTGTTGATTGGTATTCTAATTCATTGTTTTAACAGCCCAAAACATGTTCATAAAGAAACCTAAAACTGTCCTCCTTAACATACATAGCATATTCTCTACTGTCAAATTAGTTAATCGAAAGGAACCTATCTCACAGTCACAAATACGCCTCCTATCTTTAGTATAATAATTGTATCATAGTTTGTATTTTACACTCCTAGTAGAGCAATAAATTGTTTTTTACATTATAACTAACCATTCGATATATTATGACACCATAACTTGACGTCTCTCTCTCTTAAATTAAATAATTTAACTGATTTATATTTTTCTTCTCTAACTGTTTTTGTTTTGTTTTCTAGTTAAATCAAAATGTGACTGTTATGAACCAGTTCATGGTGATGTATTAATCACTAAGCATTCTAATTTAATCAGTAGTACCGGTGATGGTATAAATGTTGTTTTTCAAGTGGTTTTTGATGAAGATTATGAAAGTAATAATAATATACGTATTCCATCTTCATTACACAATGCCATATCAGCTGTACTACGTACTTGTTTCGACTATGATATTACAACTTTATCCTTGCCGTTATTATTGGTTTCATCGGTATCTGAAGTACGTTGTATGTGTTTTGTGTCGTATCATTCATCTGACTGTTTTTCTTACAATCAGTAACTTTCTATATTTGATAATAAAAAGATTTGTTGAATTTACTTAATATTCTAACTAAGATTATATATGTTTCTACCACTGAACTGTATTTTCTATAAGTTGACTGTGGTAGTTGGATAGTGTCACATAGTAGTTCATTTTATAGATTGAACAAAATGTTAACATACCTCGCAACAAATAACTGCTTTCATAACTTGTACAAGTTTTAATACATTTGTTATGTGGCTAGCAGTGGAGTCCAGGACAAATATATTGTCTTATTTGGGACCTTTCATTTGGATATACCTACATCCATTTGTTGCTGCTTACAATTAGATTTGAACTCAGTGCCTAACACTAACGTACATGTTGTCCACTAATTTACTAAATCCAGCTAGCCACTAAAATTTTCACTGACTAAAGGTATTTGTAACCTGTGATGATGGGGTGTAGTATAAAAACTTATGGATATATGTCCTAGATTGTACGTTTTATTTGACTGACTGACTAGCTGATATTATGTTTATTTGAACATGTAATTGTTTTGTATAATTAACTGGTTATTCTTCTACCTTTCAATAACTTTCACCTGAATACTGTTTTTTGTTCAATTTTGATAAAAGAATATGGATAAGTCATGGAGGGCTAAACGTGTCGAAACAGTACTTAAAGCTGTTAAAGGTGCATTAATGGAATTGATTACGTGGCGTGGTCCCAATTTACGATCTATACAATTTCTCGCACCTTCGTGGATTACAGATGAAGAATTGAATGTATTCCGACAAATTATTTCCAATTCATTTTTACAACCGAATCCATTAATTGTAGTGTAGTGATTTTCTTCAATATATTACTCCTTGATTTATTCTTTTTATTTATCTGCTGTAAAAATATATTGTATTTTCTGCTTTAATCATTTCTTATATCTCAAATAAAGTCGATTGTGTATAGTTTTCTTGTGCAAATAGTTCTCGTCTATTAATACAGATGTATGGAAATAAACAGTGTTTTGATAAGTGAATTTGTCAATGATAACCTCTCAAAAGCTACGGAAGGTCAGTCATTTTTTTGACAATCAACATCTACTGAAATAGAAATTATATGACAGTTCAACAGAATATGTAACGTAGATATCGTAGTTTTAATATTGAGTCTACCAAATATCTATCTTCATCCATATCTCTATTAAGAAAATAACCACGTTTGGATTATATAACTACTACTTATATAATAAATAGTTGCAATCCAACAGCTTCAGCTGTATGTTTTGTCTTTTCAGTTTGTAGCTGGAAGATCCAATCATGATCATAGCTTATTTTCACATAAAACAGTTGAGATCGTATTCTAAGAAGCTTTCTTAAGTATATGCTGATTGGTTACCCTGTAATACTCTGAAAAGTTACTATCAAAGCGGTTACATCATTGTGATGAGTGGACAGTAGGAATATCCACCCTCCTTATGGTTCGCGTGATTCACAAGTGTTCTGTATTTAATTTTCAACCACTTATGGGTTTCATTTGCCATAATATGTCATAAGAAATAACTATCAGTCAAGTAATTAGTCTAGAAATACATATTTCAATTAATGTGAACAGTTAGTAAAGTCTGTATTTGCCCTGTTGATAGTCGTTTCTTGGTCAATTTAACCTTACTCCGAGTATAAATTTAACGAAGCCGTTACTATTTGTTGACGAATATGGTTTTAGTCACTCATGGCTTGATGTAAAGGTTGGTAATTAGTTCGATAGTAATTGGTTTGGAATGTTTGATATTTTGTTGTGCTCTGGAATGTTATCTGATCTGTAAAGCAAGAAATGTGAAGTCACAAAAATCACTGTTAAGTAACCATGTCGCTGAAGTTCCTCCCATATCATAAAAGTATGGTCCTGAGGTTCAGTCTTTTTTATACAGTATTTGTTTGTAATACTCTGGACTACACCCTATAGCATTTAGGCGACTAAAATGTTTTATGCCAAAGATCCTTAAATTCTTTATATCTACTGCCTTACAATGCGCAGTGGTCTTTAAGTCTCGACGAATAATAATTCCCTGGGGTCTATGTTTGCCCACAAAGTAACACTTCAGTATGTATTTGATACTCCTTTGACAATAAATATGGATTATGATATAATCGGTAGTAACAACTAGTATTGGTTGGACTCCGACGTTGAACTAATATACCCGTCTTACTCAAGCCTCTAGGTGCCCTTATCTTGTCGTCTGTGTACGAAAGAAATATCATTGTCACTAAAGCTACTCCACGTTATTTTCCGCCTCAACTGCTTGACAGTAACCAGCTGCAAAGTCTTTAAATCATGACGTGAATTCCCACTAGTTGGTGTGTTGTTATATATAGCTGGCAGCCTAGAATATGGGACTTTATCGAATCCTTTTGTTAGTGAAGATGCCACTTTTATTGGTAGCCTTATACCTCAAGTTTCGTTAGCATGTTTCATCGTGATAAGGACCCCCATAGATAGGACTGATTCCGATTTCGGAATTCTAATTCGCTTTTGAAACTTCACTAGTTCCCATTAAACCACAGAATCTCTGATATTTCAGTTCGTTTAATAGTATTACCACTATTAGTTATGAAATTCAACGTACCATTTTTACAAGTTGATTAAATAGAGAACTTCTGTTACTTCACAGAGAATGACATGAATAATGACCAGAATGTTTGCTTCGCAAACAGTTTGGGTTACATAGGGTGAAATCTTTACAAATCACCCAACTGATTAATACATTAAGATTAATAAACTACATCATTTAGATAGAATTTTTCATATCGTGATCTCAGACTATAAAGCTGAGTGACGCACGTCCTACAATCCCCACTAGTGCCAAACACGACTTCAGATAGAACTTAATGATGAGTGCCAGCTGGAATGAAACATTGGTCCATGGTTTCCGGTCTACTACCTTGAACCACCTTACATCAAAACAATGTACATTCCCTGAGATTAGTGGCCACATTCCAGAAATTAAGCAGCACTGAGGACTAGATAAATATAACTTTGGTCACTAACCAATGATCAATCAGTTTGGATTGTGAACAAATAAATCCTCATTTTCACTGTTCATAAGGAAAAAGATTTTTGAATAAATTGATTAGTTAACATTTACCCAAAGAAAACACTGATAACTTTGACGAATCACATAATAATAATACTTTGAAATTCACCAGAAAACTGTCAAACAAATAGAAAGCTAACTACATATTGGTCACTGTGATTAATTAAAGAAATTTATCAAATATTGGCATTTATGCTTGTTTTCTGATATTAATAAAGCGATTTCCTTCATGTGCCAATAAATATGACTGTAATATAAAAAAACACGATTCTGTCAAAAAATGACATAATTAGCTGAGAAATAAGAAAAGTGAAACTACTGACGTTCTAATTGGGAATATCAAAAAAACAAAATCTTTAATATTTAGTTATGGATGACACAAAAATAATACCTTTATGATTCGATAAGTGATGTCAGAATTGGCTATATACATGAACAAATCCTGAGATTAAAACATAAATCTGCAATCAAAAAGTCATCGGTTTGCATACAATTTTAATTAGACCATAAGTTTATTGTTTCAGTAAACGAAAGTGTTATCGCTTTACTTGGGTTATATATTTTATATCACAATTGAAAGGAATATAAGAAAACTGCCCCATCCAGTGCCCTAATCAAGATATATGACTGCTTTAAGCAACCGTCTCCATGAGATCTGTTATTTCAGTAATTTAAGCCACAAAATAATTTTAGTATGATTCAATATTTCATTAGTACACTACGCTATTTTCAGTACATATATATGGAAAGAGAGTAGATAGATAAATTGTTTTGAGAATTCAGAAGTTAACTGGATGTAAAACAAGTTTTCTACAATATTGATATTGAGAACTCTTTACTATAATCTAATAAATGATACTGAATAGAGATCATTATCATTACGATCCTAGCTTATGAAAGTTTCAACTGATAACTGGACTACAAACTTCATGAAATTCCACTTCAGTTGAATTATTGATTTTCGGCTTCATTTGTAATTAAAATATCATCAATGGGAGGAATCAAACTAACAATACTAAGCGAATTTGAATTTCACCCCATTGCACAAACAAGTGGCTGTCAGGACTCAATAGCTGAGTGGATAACGTGATGGCGCTTAAAGCGAAAGGTACTAGGTCCGAGTCTCAGAGTGAACATCAACTCTGAGATGCAGGTACTTCCAGCTGACGAGTCCCAAATAGAACGAAACACGCGTCACACTGGATTTCACTGCTAGCCACTATTCATCTTCGCTTATTATCTTTTTTTCTTTTTCTTGATTTATTGACAAAGCAACATATACTAAGATAGAACAATCAATGAGATTCAGTGATCATTATTTGATTCACAATTATTCAGCATAATTATATATATATATTTTTTAAAACTGTTAACTGAGAAATAAAAGAAGATAAAAAGGAGACCCGTTTACTTTTTTGTTCTTTTCAATGTGAACACACATGCATTTAGATTATAGTTTAGAAATTGCATTTTGTGAATTGTTAAATATGAAAGAAAAATCACAAAAAGCCACTTCTATTCTTAATAGTTAGTAGTATTTCTTTTTTAACCATATTATTACTGATATATATGCAGTTATATATAGATAGATGAATTTCACGAGAAAAACAACGAATAATATGGTAAAGAAGACAGATGATTGATTAAAACAAAACGTGTATTAGTGTGCATGAACGAAATATCCAAGAAAACTGTTATTTTATATTCATATATACGTCAGTGTAAAAGTTTAAATGAAAATATATGCATATATTTATGTTGAACATTTGACGAAACTGTTTTTACTTATATATATGTATAAGGAGTTAAAAGAAACAAGAAAAAACAATCGTAAAAGTGATGAAATTTTAAGTAGTACACTATACTACTCATAAACAATTAAGTAGTTAATTAATTAACCAAATAAATATTCACATGTAGTTATGTTTTTGAGAATGTGGACTTGTAATGAATGTTGATAATGAATCCGTTGTTGTATTGTATTCCAAAACTTCGTTACGTTCATGAATTTCTAAATAAAACGAAATGACATGAAACTCTTTATCAAAGGTTATCAATTGAATTTTAGTTGAAAATTGTTATCTGTTTTGTGCGATTATTTTTGTTTTGTGATAGATACAGAAAAAATAATGTAAGATGTAATAACTTTACAGTTTAAGTGTAATCTCAGGATAGATTAATTACTGATGATTAACTAGTGTCATATTTCTCCAGTCCTTGAGTGGCGATCGGATTTGATCGATAAAATGTAACCAACAGTCAATATGGCTCGAAATCACATACACTATGTTAAGATGTCATGACTTTACCACCGGGCTATTCTGGTATTATCTCAGAGTGTGAGGTTGGAGACATGGGTTTGAATGCTATAAAAAACACCAGTTTCCTTGAGATTTCAGGTGCCTCATCCTTTCTGATGAATCCTGACTAGTATGAAACCTGGGTAAATAGATTCCTGTCGACTACCTATAACCATTTAACATCTCAACATAAGTGTATCATTAGATAAGTCTGACTATAATCAATAAAAGTAAGACGGTATGATAATCACAAGTAAATCATAACTTTTATATAATGTTAGATTCTTGCCTGAAATATTATCGGGGTTTGTTACAATCATGTTACTTCGAAAATCAATCAAATGTTGTGTAATAACCGGTTAGTAAAAAATGTTAATGTAAAGATAATTATCCGTTTGATAGATATTAGGAACACAATAAGGGGGTTAATTGACAGTTGTGAAGAATAAGTGGAAAGAAGTCGAGAGAAAAAAGCAATATGTGATAGATAATAGAAGACTCAAAGGAAGGTTAAGACCATAAAATATTGAGGGATTGAACATGCTATTCTTGTACTCAGAGTTGTTGGCAAAGATTTGTGATTTTCATTTATTGATATTGAAGACTGCGATTGATTAGACTCTGTTACCTTATGCGTGACCAGAGCAGATTGTCTCGAAATAATCTTTCAGTCATAAGATTTTAATACATCTGAATTGCCGCTAGTAAAGGAATCCAGAATGAATAGTTCATCTTGATTGGTTCTCGTCAATTAGTTACTACCTATATCCCAGTGTTAATATTCAGAATAAGACTCAACTAAATGCACTTCACATTGAACGCTAACGCGCTTTCATTAGTGATTATCTGAACTTGATAGCTCAGCGGATAATGCGTTGGACGCTTAAAGCATAAAATACTCAGGTCAAGCTCCGATGTGAACGTTAATACTAAAATACAGTAAAATCAAACAGACGAGTCTCAAATAGAACAAAAAGCTTGTCTATTTTTATAAATCACATAACCTATTTTAAAACAATTTTTTAATCAATCATACACATAATAAAACCACAGGATTTCCAATATGTTCCATTACGTATGAGGTTGGGGTATGTATTTTTTTATTTTTAAGATTGATGAAATCATCGTCTCTTTTATGATATCAGTCAATCTTATAGAAGGATGGCATTTTAACTAAACTTCTTCAAAGTATAAATAGCTTCAGAAGGGGTTTCCTGTGAATATTATAGTAATTTTAATAGTTGAGATCATGAATCAATTGAAGCTAGACCACCATGGAAAACCTGAAAGCAGTGGACGGCCGTTTCATCCTATTGTGGGACTCCTCAGCAGTGAGCATACACGATCCCGCCTCGTGTGATTTGAACCCATGACCTATCAGTCTCAACTATTGAATTATAAATAATTTGTTTCTAATTTTGTTTAAAATTTCGCTTCATCAAACTATTCATGTTAGTTGAGGTTATCAATTAAATACTAACCTAGTTTGTATAATTTTCATTTTTTTAGTCTAGTCGACAATTCTAATGGTTAGTACTTTTTGGCATCCATTTTACTGAATAGAAGTTTGTAATTATTAGTAAAACTTGAACTAGTTATAATTTTAAAAAATTCCTTGTTAATTTACTTAAATTATCAACAATTTCAATATAAGGATGGATAGTGGCTAGCAGTGGAATCCAGGATGCGCGTTTCGTCCTATATGGGACTCGTCAGCTGGAAGTACCTGCATCTCAGAGTTGATGTTCACTCTGAGACTCGAACCCAGTACCTTTCACTTCAAACGCCATCACGTTATCCACTTACCTAAATAACAATGGGAAGATTACAAGTAAACAACACCAAGTGAATTTCAACGTGATCGTGGATGCTGAGGTGTCCCACAATAGGACGAAACGGTCGTCGAGTGTTTCCAGGTTTTTCATGGTGGTCTAGCTTCAATTAACTCAACTATATAAAATCAGAATATGATTAATAATTCTATTATATAATAATTTACCTTCATTTTTATTTTGATTATTATCAATTTGTGAACAATTAGAAAGACATGAATCATCTATATGAATATTCATTTTATTATCAATTGAATTCATTGAATAATTAATTTGATTTGATTCATCTGATTTAGTTAAATTGATATGTTGTATATTTGAATCAATTAATTGTGAATTATTTTTAGAAGATGGAGATAATAATGCTCTTGTATACAATGAATTATTATTATTACTATATTCTTGAAATCTTCTTGTAGGATCATTGAAATCATGAACAGTTGGACTATTATTATTACTACAAGTATTAGTATTAGTATTCATTTGAGAAATGCTAAAAATTTCATTAGTGTATAAATGGGATTCGATTGAATTTGTAGGAATATCTGTATGATCACACTCTTTTGGATTGAATATCTGATTTCGTTTAACGGATGTACCACATGGCCAACATATATGTTCATTAGACCAACGTACGTCAAGATCATTATTTAATTGTTCATTATTTTGATTGAGTAAATTCAAATCTTTTGAAGTTAACAATAAACCCTGAGAATTTTGTATAAGATTGAAGTTATTTTCGTATAAATTATGATGGTTTATTTTTATTGGGGTTGAATGTGAGCCACTTATTTGTGAATCTTTTTCTGTACTATAGTACGTTGTATAATCTATTTCTATATCTTCATGATGTTGTGTATTGTTACTTATATTCATTGAACCAATATATGCATCTGAAATAGTAGGTTTATAAAGTGAAGAAACAGTTGTAGGATTCGAGTTTGGTATACATGGTAATGTTTTGTGAATCATAGTTTGGTATATTGGAGGCAATTGTTGACTAACTGAAATATTACTATTATTGTTTCTTAAATATTCTGATGAGTTCATAAAGCTGTATTGTGAAGGATTTAAATCACCTGAGTTGGTTCTAGAAGCATTTATATTTTCTGTAAGTTGGGTTGTTATTGTTGAAATTTCCATCGGTGAATTTGATAGTTTTATCCCAAAGGAATCTGACTGTGTACGGAATACATTATCAAATGAAACTGAACCTGGTGTAGTGGATCCATGTATTTGTCCATTTAAAGTAGTTGCAATACGATTACAGAAAACACTGTCAATGGAAGATGATGAAGATGATGGTCCAACTCCTTCTAGTTCTACACGCTTAACTGATGTAGAATTTGTTATATTAAAATTTGATGAAATTGACAATCCGCTAGAAAGTGGTTGAAGTTTAGAAGCACTATTTATACTATCATAATTCATACTACGAGTATTTGCTGAATTCGGTAAGAAAAATCTTGACATCTCTTTAGTTAATAATAAATCATGACTCATATTTCCTAAATTAAAACTATCAAAAGGTGTTGTAGAAATTTTATGCATTGTATTATCATGAGTTATTTGTGAATAATTATTTCCTGATGAAATATTTACTGCAACTGCTGCAGCTACTGCGGCGGCAGCAGTAGCTGCTGCCGCTGATGCACATTTTCTTCGAAAACCTCTTGGTCGTCTTCTTGATGCACCATCTTGAAACATAAATTCTGCTGCTGGATCAATAGTCCAGTAATGACCTTTTCCAGGACGACCCATACCTAAGTATCATCATAAAAATTCATAGAACATTAAAGATAAAAGCATATAATAAAATATTTAAATGTACGAAATTAAGTGATTTTCTTTTAAAATGACTGTAATATCATTGGTGTTAACAATTTTTCAAAGACCCCACTAGGAAATAACATTCTTTTTGTTGAAAATCTTAAATAATCACATTGATTCTAAATTAGTACATCTGTGTACATGAGTTCGAAAGAATAATAAATGTGAAACAACTACCATCATTCTGGGGATAAAATACAATTTAAGGATTCTAGATCCTTTTCTAAGTAGGCTTTCAGATACGAACCACTGATGAATCACATTACTACGATGGCACAATAATTAAATTTTATCAGTATGGAATTGTGGTGGTGGTCTAACATCAATCGGTTCATGATCTCAATCAAAAACCTGATAATCTCTACAACCCCGTACTAATAATTACCATGTATCCGCTAGTGATTAGCTTCGTGAGGGAATTCTCGGAATTCTAGTGAGATACCGAGACCAGTGGAGCTAATCTATATCAGGTAGAGACAGGTATCCACCTCAGATAATGGAAGATGGTTGCGCAACTTTGAAGATTGGTAAAAGTTAGACATTAACGCTGTTGGATGTCTGCTTAATGGTCTACAGATTGGGTATTCGCACGGGAGACCTAAGGTCCTGAGTTTGAATTCCATATATGGAATTGTACATCTGCACTGCTCGCAATTCCCATAATAGTACGAAACGGCCATCCGATGTTTCCACATCTTTAATGGTGATCTAACATCAATCAGTTCATAATCTTAATAAAAAAAAGTCAAATTTTATATTAAAAAATCATGTGGATTTCATAAGAATTTTATGTTTAACTATCTTTGATTCACTACTCTTACAAACATACCACTCAATACTTACACGTATATATATATATAATATGATCATAAATAAATGCCATTTTCATCCATGAAAACATTGGATCACTAAATAGTTATAGACTTATCTATTTTTTAAAGTCTTAAACTAATACCTATATGGTAACAAATACCCTATTAAGTAATCATTATAAGTTGATTGTATAAATTACAATGTATATCATATGTTGTCTCGATTCATTATGATTTATGGTATATTCACCATATATATAGTTACATAGTACTATGTGTACAACTTTAAAAATTCTAAATATCTGTATATTGTACTTATTACCCTTTGATGTATGATAACCATTGATAATAAGAAATATTTCAAAATGATTTAGTCGAATTACATAGAGATTGAAAAAATTTATCACATTCAATTATAATACTTAAATATTTTGGATATTATAATTGTTAAATAGGTGTATAAATGTGAAATTTTTAAAAAAAAAAATTCATTAAATAACATTTCAATATATAAACAAGATGAATAATGTAAGCAAAGATGGATAGTGGCTAGCAGTGAAATCCAGTGTGATGCGTGTTTCGTCCTATTTGGGACTCGTCAGCTGGATGTACCTGCATCTCAGAGTTGATGTTCACTCTGAGACTCGAACCCAGTACCTTTCGCTTCAAACTCCATTGCGTTAACCACTCAGCTAATGAGTCCTGACAGCCACTTACTTGTGCAACGGGGTGAAGTTTAAATTCACTTAGTATACACGTATGCTAATAAGAGACTGATCAACTGCAGTCCTAAACATCAATGGGAAATTTCAAACAGACAATACCAAGTGGATGTCGAGAAAAGAAAAAAGACTTCTACTTCCTATTATTGAATAATTACTGAATTTTATTGACAGGGTGGTGCTCGTAGTAAAAATAATTTTAATTCATTTGTTTTAAATGAAATTTTCTTCATTTTTCTTTTTTTTTCTACATTTTTCAGTAATTTTTAATAACCATAAACTCATCCATAAAGTTATAGGTGTATATACTTAATGTAAAAAATTATGGGAACGTAGTAAGAAATTGTACCATTTGATAGAGTTTTACAAATCTATCAATCATGTTACTAGAATGGTGTGTAAATTGAATTATAATGGTACATAGTGAAAGTGAAACTGTTACTTATCATTATCATTTAATGTTAATCGAACTATACAGAGTATTGAATAAAGTTAAAAATGATAATAAACTCTGACTAATTAAATGAATGATATGCTATTCAATATGACATCTAAAAGATATTGAAAGTCTTTTACGTCATGTTTTGAATGATTTGAGGTTAGAATGTTTCAAACAAGAAAGAAACAGCTGTTCAGTATCTCTTCAATTTTAATAGTTCTTAACCTTTTATCATACAATAATGCAAACTATTTTAAACGTTAACGAATTTTCGGGCTGTATTGGTTACAGATTCGTGTCAGTCAGGATACTATTATAAATTGGTGGGAATTTATAAACACCTTTTCCTGGTAAAAGATTATTCACGACACCAATAAGGATCCGATTCAGGACCTCCAGATCTCACGATAAATCCCTAACCATTAAGACCATTGGCTCGATATCCGATGATACAGTTACAACTTGGATAGGTATGATATATCTCGACTATTATCCGATACCACTGGTCACAACTGTTTCACTAAAGATATGTCTAAACTCTATCAGTCACAACTACTTGCAAAAACTCCAGGAACATCTTGAAATAAGTTATCCATGGAATGACTCACGTTTTAGTGAAAGCTATTTTACAGAGAGTGATTTTATACACAGCTTGCATTTGTCAAATGGTAAGACTAGTTCTAGTGCTTAAGTGTTAGCCGTAACAAATGAAGGCCCTAGCTATGAGTCATACCTAATTCGTCTGCGTACAATCCAGTAACTTCAAAAAATACTTCCATTTTAGTCACCTTTTTTCTAAACAGAAATGTTAATATACACTTACCTTTTGGTAATTTAATAAAAACTTCATTTAATGATAAATTATGTCGAACTGAATTTTTCCATCCAGTATACTGTCCACGAAAGAATGGAAATTGTGTATGAAGATATTGATAGATTTCGCTTAGTGTACATCGTTTTGATGGAGATGCTTTGATAGCCATTGCAATTAATGCAATATAAGAATATGGAGGTTTTTCTGATCGTCTACCAGCTATTAAAAAGAAGGGAAACGAAAATGAATAAATTAAATATTTAATACATGTAACATACGTAATGCTTTCTTTTAAACAGAATGAGATCATTCACTTCTTATTTTTTCTTTGAATCTCCCTATTGATGTTTAGGACTGAACCTGGTCAGTCTCTTATTGGCATATGTGCATACTGTGCGTATTGCCTCGATTTTTTCGATATTAGGAATTTTTTATCATAATATTATCCAGATAGTTATTTGATCAATAGTTAGACATTCAATTGTCAGTTAAAATAAAAATTTAAACCAGTGATCTTAGTTTACTTTATGATCCATCTTTTACAACTTTTTTTTTTCAAAAATAGTTTAACTCAGGTCAATTTATGACAAATATTGCCTAAAAATTATATCAGCTTTCACAAAGTTTCTTCATTGAATGACTGAGTAAAGTTAAATTTATTTTATTAAACTCTGATCCAGTGATCTAAGTATCCAAGCGTTGCCCATATGAACTAAAAGTCATGGATCCGTGTACGTGGTATTAAACAGTTTCAAAATAAGGAAAACCATTTACTTAGTACTCCAAAAACTCAGCTGAGATTAATATATAGCGAATACTAACTTCAATCTTCATAATATCCTTTCAAGTAAATTTGCATATATTTTTCTTAGCTTTTTCGCATTGAAACTTTATGACAACAAAATTAAGTTAATATAGAATTTTATATAGTTGAGATCATGAATCAATTGAAGCTTAACCACCATGGAGACCGATAGGTCCTGGGTTCGGATCTCGTGAGGCAGGATCATGGATGCGCACTGCAAAGGAGTCTCACAATAGGGCGAAACGGCCGTCCTGTGCTTCCCAGTTTTCCATGGTGGTCTAGCTTCAAATGATTCATGATCTCAACTATATAAAATTACTAAAATCTCCACAAAACCCCCTTCTGTTAACATAGAATTGTTGATATATTTAGCTTTAGTTCGAGCTTAATTATTTCCTAAATAATTTTTGACTGGACGTTTTTATTTCATTCAATGATTAGATTGAAATCATTATATTTGTGCTTCTTTTTGACGAAACCTTAGACGGTAATTGAAGAGAATACCTATTAACTTGAACAATGATTATATTTCTGTAAACTAACTTCCTTGAAGGATGGAACATTTAAGCATTGATCTTATTAAGCTTAATTATGAACAACTAAATGAAGATACTTTAAATAATTTGAAAATAAACATTATTCTATTCTCAAAAAAAATTATGTTTCCTTTAGACTAGATTGACATAGACTAGACATAGACAGAAAAAATGAAAGTATAAAGAAGGAGTATTCATAAAACAGTACTAATTCTAGTGTTTTTCCTATACAAATATATATAATGTATGTTTATTTAACATAACAAGCTATTCATTTCCTGAATCCTTCATTGTTATGTCTGTCAAAAACGCTATTCTCGAAAAATCTAATAATGATAATAAATTATATACCAACAGTTGAAGTACAATATGGACTGCTTGTTGTTTTTTTCTTAAGGATTGACCGGAAATACAAAATTTTTGTCCATGTATTCTCCAATTGTTTCTTTGTTTGTTTGTTTTTTTTTAGTTAATCACTTGCCCATTTTCTCACTTCCTATGTATATTTCTTCTTTAATATATACATATAAAAAAGGTATATATGTATACATGTATTAGTTTACTGCTAAAAGATTTTGTTTATATAAAGTCTATAAAAAATGTACATAGTTGATATGATAGATCATATGACTGTTATTGAACAATATAAACGAACTGATAGAATTATGTTTTGTACAGTTATAATTATCGTCGCCTTTGATCAAAGCGAAAGTTTTGTATTTCTAAATTAAGATAGTTAAAGTACACTAGATTTTACAGTAATTGGTAAGTACTATGTTTTTTTTCTTTCTACCTTTCACTAATAATGATAGCAAGCGTCTGAAATGATGATGATGATGGTGATGGATGTTCCAGATGCTGTGTTTTAGTTTTTTGATAGACATTGAGAAATTATCATTAATTTTAGATTCTATGTTTATCTACTTAATCCCCATTGTTTTTTTCATATCTATTTCTTGTCTTTTTCAGAAAGAAAAACAGTTTATTGAATATGTCAGAATCATTTGCAGAAATTGTCATTTATTTAGTAAAAAAGAGGGATTATTCTATCATATTCTCTTTAGTGTTTTAATTAGTTGTAATTCATTTCAACATTTTCTTTCTTGATGGACATTCATCGATCCATAGATCGTTTGTTTGTATTATCTTTAAGAATCCTAATCTAGGAATTAAGACTACTTAAACGGTTTGCTCACTTTACATAGGTAAGGAGGTACTTATTATTTAAAATTTCACATTTTTTTCGTATTATTTATAAAATTATAACGTTATTTTATAGACTGTTATATAGCTTGTAAGAAGATTTCCTCTAACTTAAACATGACTTGTTAGATGGGTTTCAAACAACTAAACTAATAAAGTAGGATTTAAGATAAGTGAGGTTGTAAAAATCATTTTGCACAGTGTCATACCCATTAAATGTCATTGAACAAACTCCTAGAATAATTCATGTTTCTTTGTAGGATAATCTGGATTCAGTAGTGAATCAAAGTCAATTGTTTGGTTATACAGCTGAAGTAATAACACAATAATTAATATATGTAATAATAGATATAACTTTAACAGTGAATTATGAAATTTCACAGAATTATTTTAAGAGGTAAGAAACTAAAGTTTTCCAAAACTTCTGACCAACTAAGTGACATTTTTTGAGTTGATGAGGCGCTGAGGAGTCACACAATAGGATGAAACGGCCGTCCAGTGCTTCCAGGTTTTCCATGATGGTCTAACTTCAATTGACTCATGATTTCAACTATATAAAATTACTAAAATTTCCAAAAAACCTCCTTCTGATAATAAGAGTATTAGTTAGTGAATTTATTCCTCCTCATAATTTTTTTATATAAGTTAAAATCTAATCAGTCTGTACATCACCTTTCCTGTAATCGTAAGCATTAAATCTAAAAATACAATGACATTAAACAATATGGCTAGTCTAATTTAATAAAGCAATTTGTTTGATAACACAAACAAACAGAATATTCAATCGCCAGAATATTGGTCGCTCGAATCTGACAGTTTAATGTAAAATATGTTATGGTAATTCGATTGGGTGACATTATAGGTAAGTCAATTATTTTCAATGACGAACAATATATATATATATATATATATATATATATATATATATCTTGTACGGTCACATTAAAATAGTATATCCTACCTGAATACAATTTGTAAACAGTTGTATTTAATTCACTTAGTATTGTTTGTTTGAATCTTCCCATCGATGTGTTAGGACTGCAACTGGTCAGTGTCTAATTGACATGTGTGCATACTGTGCGTATTGCCTCGATATAGCCTTGATTCACAAGCATGATAAGCAAAAATGGATAATGGCTAGCAGTGGAATCCAGTTTGACACGCGTTTCGTCCTATTTGGGATTCGCCGGCTAGATGTGCCTGCATCTCAGCATTGATGTTCACTCTGGGACTCGAACATCGATGGGAAGATTCAAACAAACAATACTAAATCAATTTATTCATTGGTTTGTTTAAACAGTCCTTCTTGAAGAAATACATATAAAATTTAGGTACATTGTTTTATTACTAGTAAGTAGTATAGCTCTTACAAAATATTTTCCATGCTTAAATGCTTTTACCACTTCGCATAAAAATCTCTTCTATTAGAATTATTAGAATAAAAACGTTTCTGTTGCCTAATTTTTTCAAGGATGAGCTTCAAATTATTTTGTAACTACACCTAAACAATACTGAGTACTATTTGGACTGTATAAGAAGAGGACTTGGCGAAATTTTTTATTGAACAGTAAAATATTTGTATAATGATTATTAATAGACACAGGATGTCAGTTAAATAGAATTTTGAAATATTTTTAAAGTATTCGGCATATTATGCAATAATAAATCGAAACTTTTGACGTACTTAACGTTTAGTAAATTACTTAGAATAGGCAGGTACCTAATATCTTAGTGTTATATATTTCTTCCGATACCGCTGGAAACAAAATGACTAAAAACAACCCACCAACACATAATCATTAGGACTTCAAAGACTAATTATTATGATATACATAGAGAGAGTTCAAAAACTATTTTTCTTGTAAAGAATTGGTTTTTTCCTGGATTCTAACACAGAGAATCATTTAATACTTGACATTCATTGCTTTCAGTTTACTTGTATAGAGCATTCATAAAGTAATTCAGTTAGCTGGTGAAAAACAGTTATTATTACCATCTAGAATCATATTAAGTACAATTTATAATAGAAAGAGGATAAACGAGAAATATCATTACTTAAACTACTACTATAAAGAATATATACAAATCGTTATTAATAAAGTAGACAAATTGATAATCTGAAAAAGCATTTCTGAAGTAAACCCTTTAATAATAATAATAATAATAATAATAATAGTAATAATAATAATAATAATAATAATAGTATTACTTATGGTTACTATGAGAATCATAAGAAGACTTGAATACCTACATGATATATTTACTAAACACTAGACACCTATCTTCTTAGTTTGCTCTCACATGTGATCAATCTCTTAATAGCATAATAATAGACAAAGTAAACAGTCATTTTTCAAGTATCAATATATGGTTTTTAGTATTATAATCATTTTCAGTTTCCTTTTTTAATTTATTAAATATACTATATTATATAAACAGTTGAATTGATCCCATTTTAATAATTAAGACCTGAATCAAATCACTATACCTTTACAATTAAGTTTATATCTTATTTGTTTTCATAAAGCTCAATTATTTCATAAAGATTTATTTAATAATTCCAGATATTCTTTGAAATAATTATTTTGTATATTTTATTTTCTTGAAACTCAAAACAATTGTCAACCAACACCAAGATCAGAATTTTCAATACAAATGTGAAGACAGTTCTACTG